TAAAAAATGGCTCAATCATTCAAAACAGTACAGTTCCAAGAAAAATCGCACCTAGCTCTATAAGTCTCAAAAAAACAGAAAACTGTTTTGACCCACCTTAAAATCCTGGCACTCGTCACCTAACTTGCTAGCTCTTCTTCGACTCAAGGAACATAAAATATTATTTTAATTAAGCGTCCTTTATTTAGTGTTTGTAGAGGCGATAGGCCCAGAAAAGCCAGTTGCGAGAACAGTAAAACGCTGACGTCAGACGTCATTAGTCATGATTTGCAAATATAGGGACAGCCATATTTGACTAAAAGGCAGAATTTAATTATCTGATTTCCATCTAAGATGCTGAAGTTTGAAACAAAGAATGAAGTTAATTTTCATTTCTTACATCAGTGAGGATGTCGGGCAGTTGACCTTAGTTTATTGACTAATTAAGACAGTGAAAAAATTTCAGTTTGTCTTTGTGAGTGAACGGCCTTTTCTCGATTAAATGTCAGACCTCGAGTAAACGATGAGCCCCAAATAAATGCTGGCTCGGCGTTTATCTGAAACTAAATGTTATATACTAGGTAAATGATTCTCGTCGATGCAATCAGTGAACCAATCCTGTGCTGATTAGACTGGGTGCAAATAGACTAATCAAGTATGATACCTAAACGGAAAGTTTTATAAAACGCTGACGTCAGACGTCATTAGTCATGATTTTCAACTTAAGCTGCTGCCATTTTAGGAATTTTAAATGTTTTTATTTGTTGGAAGGATATCCATCAATATAACTGTAGACAAAATACTCGGTAGACTGCACTCTAACTCGTTCTCTCTCGCTTTTCACCATTGATTTTATAGCCCTNAAAATGGCAGCATGAAATGACCTTATGCTAAGATGCTTTTATCAATGAGTCAGAAAGCTGACAATAGGTCCAAATAGAAATCAATGTTTGTATTAGTTGTAAGGGTATCCACTAATATAACCGCAGACAAAATACTCGGTAGACTGCACTCTAACTCGTTCTCTCTCGCTTTTCACCATTGATTTTATAGCCCTTCTCATTGGGGCTGCAGTCTCTGTTCCCCTCATCTTCTTGGTGTTGAAAAGATGGCTCACTGAGAGGCAATTCTGCATCGAGTTGTTGTCAATTCACCGTAATTACAAAGATCTAATTAATGAAAGCCAAAGCATACGTTACAGCTTGAATAATGGTTCAAGGAAATAAAATCAAGTTTAAATAAATCCCCTGATAACGAAGCCAATTACAAGTCTGATCTGACACTTTGTAGCATTTTGCAGCCGCTCTTTGTAATGTTTATTGTACTGTTGTGTTTTCAAGAATATGTTTTCCTCCATTGACAAACACATGTGCAACACTTGTAATTGTT